AGGCAAGCAAAACCACCTGAAGTCACATTAAGGCCTTAGGGAGCAGCTGAATGAAGGAGCCAAGACATGAGGAAGACGGTGCTCTTGTTCGAGAAATCCCCAGATAGACTCACGGAAGCCAGAGGGCTGCAAGATCTCTTCGGTCACATGGGGCCGTAGCAGTGTGGTAGCCAGCACCGTTCGGACGTGGTGGCTCCTCATCGTCTCTTCGTTGCTATTGAGACTGTCGTCAGCATCATCCTCATCACATTCTCATCACATCTCGTTTGTTATGCCCATCCTGATCACCGTCCTCATCATCAACGTCTTCAGCTTGCTGACAACCAAATTGCTGAGGTCCCTCGCCAAGCTTTCAAGACCCTTCTAGGCTTGCATGCAAGGGGCGCTTGAGGGCTTAAAGTTGCCAGTCCAGAGCCAGGATTTTAACCCGATATGACACCGATATGATGTGTCGTGTCCGAAGCCTGAGGGTTGACAGGAGGTCGCCCAGCAGATACCACGACGCCTCCTGACCCGGCTGGAAACTGCGAGGACATAACATCTCAGTAAGGCTCTACGAGTAGGACTCCCCACCTGGGTGAGCAGAGGCTGCTGTTGCGCCTGACACAGCACAACATGCTCAACGGATGCAGTCGGCGATCTGCCCGAGTCTTCTGAGAAGTCCGGGAGCTGTCCGAATGGGCTTCAAACTCGGCATCAGCTCGGCAGAAAACTTGCTTTCGGGATGCCTGCAGCGCTGATCCCAGCAGCACCGGAAGCACCGCAAAGCGGAGGAGCCGCTCCTGGTCCCAGGAACTCCACAAGATCTTGGCCAGCTCTACGCTATCGGAGAGCTGAGATGGGATGGGAAAGCTCTACCGAGTTGGGAGTGTCAAGGCCCCCGCTCCACGCCCTGAGATGCGAAACCCCCCCCCCCCCNNCCCCCCCCCCAAAAAAAAAAAACCTTCTAAAGCCCAAACGATCCATCCCTGCACCCCATGCTGTCCTGAAGAATCGCACTCAGCTGATTCACATCCTTGGTGGCCGGATCTGCGAGACGGTAGCTTGCAAGGTAGTTGAGCCTGAGAACGCTTTGGGGGTGTCTGCTGTCAAGGGTGGTCTTAGATTTTGGACTTTGGAGCTTGGGGGTTTAGGGCCCTGGCGATAGGCGGGGCGATGTCAACTGAGGCCTTTGCAGAGGCGAAGACGTCATTGATGTACTCCAGGATGTCATTCCTAGCACATCCGACGAGTTTGGAACAAAAAGCTCTTGGTGTGAGACCGAGCTTGAGCGTTGCACAACGCTGAGCCGGGGCGCTGCAAGCTGAAGGCATTCTTCATGTCTCGCCAGATGGTCGAGCGGATCGTCTCGTCAGCCATGCCTCAACCCGAATTCACGCACTGCGGCTCTAGCTCAAAGAAGCTTCGGGACTACCAGGGATGGTTGCTCGTGGGCTTGTAGGATGTAACTAAGACTAAATCGTTTCAGAAACTGCTGCGGCCAAGCCACGCCAGAAGTCTCTGAGAAGACAGCACACCTAAGGGCAGTTCCCGCACATGCTGCAAAGACGTCTCCAGTTCTGGTTTGCTCAGAGATGTCAAAGTAGCGGAGCCCGCAGGCAACCTAGGGCCATGTAGGGGCCGCCTAACTTCCCATACTTCCCAAGGAAGGCACGTGCGTGAAGAGGATCTTCGAGTCTGCCACCACCAACTCGAAGAGAGAATTGCTCCAAGAGTCCGCGATCTTCCTTTGAGGACTTGCTGAGGATTTAGGGTTCGGGGTTCAGCAAGGGATGGGCTCGAGGCTTCAGGAGCCAGGTGCAGAGAGGCGGATCATTCGTTCGCTGTGCTGATCCGTAGAAACCGAGCTCACAAAGCTTATCCCCAAAATCAGGACGGGGTTCAGCTTCGAAAAGATCTCCAGCGAAGTCGCTTGCACATGCGTTCGCACCTCACAGGGTCCACCGCCAGCTTAGTCACAGACTCAGTCCCAACACATCCCAGTGCCTGAATCCGGACGGTAGAAAAACCCCGCGGGCATGGGGTGCTGACTCTGCCGACCCTCCAGACTCCAGCGAAGCCCCCTATCCAAACCCAAAAGCAGTCTGTTTCCCCAAGGCCCCATTTTTCCCCAGCCTGACGGGGAGTCTGCTCTAGAGGCCCGACTCAAACCCTCCGGAATAAATCCGGGCCTGGGCTGAGGGATGGTGGTAGTACTTCGCGCTCTGCGAGAAGAAGGGGAAGGGCTTCTCGGAGTAGGGGTTGAAGAACAGCATGAGGTTCTCCTGAAGAGACTCGCAAGAGATCTTCCAAGATTCAAGGCACCGGATTCTGGGGTGCTTGGATGCTCGGCCACAGTGCCGTCTCGAATCCGGGTTGAGAGCCTTGCAGGTTCAAGTTCGACAGCTTCCAGACTTGAGCAAAGCCCCGTTTCTTCCTTGTGTCTACGATCCTAGTCTGAGGTTTTGTGATCATGAGACATTCCTTTTGGCTCACTTCGGGTCCGGGGCCGACGCGGCTCCTCGCTCATCATGGTGGCGATGTCTTTGACGACGGTTATCCAGAGGGGGAGCAGGTCCTCGTTCTGCCCTCAGCTCGAAGCGGGAAGGAAGCGGGAAGGAAGCCCAAGCCAACGCACGAGCATGACGGTAAGAACAAGAAGAACAAAGAAGAAGCGTCTGGGCAACCATTATAACAGATTTTGGGGTTCTTTCGGGTTGGGGGAAAGTCTCAGGCACCTATTCCTCGAAACTAACACCTGGTCCCCAAATGCTTGAACCCTCAACCTTCGCTCAAGACATGAAACCAACTCAACCCGGCTCCAAACACCACTCAAAAACTGCGTGAACTCAGAGCCCAAGCAGAGAGGCACGGACTCCAAAAACCTACATAAATTCAACAGAAAGCTTGAAAACCTGAGACTCTTCAGATTCTAAAAACTCAAACCCTGCAACCCCCAAACAACTCAAACGCCCCTGATGCCCTAGCAAGAAAACGAGGCTCGGAAGTCGAAGTTGGCAGTCACCACTTCATTCCTCCGCTTGGGAGGGCTTTCAGGAGCTTTCAGGGTTTGGGAGTTTGGGAACTTACGGTAGGGCATCAGGGTGTTTTTGGAGCTGGGATTAAAGGGTTTGGAGTGGCAGGGCTCAGCGCTTTCGGGCTGAGGAGTCTGTGCCTTTTGCCTTCTTAGCTTTTGTGGCTTCGGCTTGGCCTTGGGCTCGAATGCCTTCCCGAAACTCTTCACTGCCCACAGCCCCCCGAGCCGAAGGGGCTGTTGGCAAAGCTTGAGAATGTCTCAGGCCCGGGCAGGTAGAAGCCGGCGGTCAGGTTGCAGAAGAAAAGCGACTCGGCCGGCCTCAAAGCTTCGCTTTCACTGAGCTCACCAGCCTCCGCTCCGGCCAGGGCACCCCGAGGCTTCAATGCAGCTCGGAGGCGTTGCTGCCAGCAAGATGTGGATGGTCTGCAGCACCTGCGCCTGCAAACAAGAACCGGTCCCCTCCCAAACGCCTGTCTTCAACGCTACCAGCAAAAAAAAACAACTGGGCTTCTTTACACAGGCTAAAGGAATAGAGTCCACAAGCACAGAGAGGCTGGGGCTTCACATTCTGCTCTTGGGGTAGGCTTCGTGTCGAGGAGCGAACTACTGACCCCCCCCTCTCGGGCCTGCAAGTGAGGGTGCTGCGTGAAGAGCAGGTCTCTCAGCCGGTCCCGGATGCGCCGGTCCACGAAGGGCTGGGCGAACGCCTCCCGGAATAAAACTTGCCACGGGGTTCCGAGGCCCACCCCTTGCTACTCTGCTGAGAGTTTTAAAGCAAAACCACAGTTAGAGTGTAGACAGAATGCAATGCAATGCCGATGCACCTCGCCAATCTCGCGGTGGGGCTGCCCGTACCTCGAGGCTTTGATATGGAGTGCAGCAATTCGGAGCTTCAGGGCTTGGGTCCACGACAAAGCGTTGCCAAAACCTTTCAGGTGCATTGCAGCTTCGAAGAGAAGCCTCTCTGATCGTGTGCTGGGGAGAACCGGCCCGCCCAAGCCGCTCCATGCAGCAACTGCTGAAACATACTGAAATTACAGTACTATGTCTACATGGCAGCCCAGACACGCCCAGGCTAGGCCCTCGCCGATACGCTGGATGAGCTGCACCTACGGCTCTGTGCACTGCTCCGGAAGCAGTGCCCGCTAGACCCTCCAGCCTGAAATCCCAAACCCCACCAGCAGTCCCTTCAGAATGCCAAGAGAGGAAACAGCAACATTGACGGGCTGAGCTCCGGGCCGCTTCCGCCACCTGGCGCGCCTCGCTGCCGTGGCGGCGGAAGAGCTCCTCCCGTGCTCTTTGGGAGCGCTTTGGGAAATTCTCCCAAAACCCGCGTCCGGGGTGGGTCGGCCGGGATGGAACTAGGATCTTTCACGTCCTGTGAAACGAAGTCCAGGTGGGCACAGAGCTCATCCATCTCCATGACCGACTCCATGGCGGAAAAAAGCCCGGCTCAGGCGGGGAGTGGGACTTTGTCTAAGGGAGGGGCTGGCGCGAACTGCAGGTTCGGATCAAGGAGAGCTCTCTACAATCTCCTTGTATATGAAGTAGCTCTTGGAGCTTCCAGTGCCCGCCCTCTTTGCCTGGAAGACCATTCACCGAGAAGACGCTAACCAGCTGTCGAAAACGCAATGGGAAAAATCCGAAAAAATGCTTCAGCCAACAGCTGCAGAGCGTGGAACAACACTGAAGCACATCATTCTGCCGTCTGCATGTCTGCATACAGAAGATTGGTAGCACTCCGGCCTGCGCTACTGAAAATGCCAATTCGACTGCCTGCAACTTGACCGTTCCCTAAACGGTGCTGCTATCCGGGTAGTGGGGGCAATGGTGGTGGTGTTTGCTGTGGTGGCGGCAGCATCACCGGCAGCAGAACTGGCAGCACCGCCGGCAGTTCAGGCCGAGAAGCGGAGGTAGAGCAAGTGGCAAGGTAGTGCAACAAAACCTAAACCCCAAACCCTAAACCCTAATCGTGCGTGGCGTCCTGCTTGTGGCGCCTTCGAGTGAGGACAAGGAGCGCTTCCGCCTGCAGCACGGCAGAGAAGTTACACACCTCGAAGGATCAGATCCATCTGCTGGCGTTGTCCTCCATTTGAAGAATGTTACACTGCAAGCTTCGTATCCTTGCCACAGAAGTAACGCTGGACTCACAAGTTTGAACGAATGTAAGACTTAAAGTGAGAAGCATGCTGAAACACACAACCAGCAAGTTCTCTGAAAGCGTGCGCGTGTGTGCTTGCGCCTGCTCTGCCCGATCTTCGGCTTCCTGCCAAAGGCCACTCCACTCAAGCGGATCTATCACAAGCTCTGCCTCAAGAAACGATGATTGAGTAAAAATCTCACTGGAATCTGAACACGAACTGCCAAAAGACCCTCGGCTTTACCCGGCATGAAACACTGAAACTCAGAACCGCTACGTACTGCCATGCTCCCTGTCGGGAATCAAACGACAAGCTTCAGGCTTTGCTTAAACTGCCTTGATGTAGCCTTGCATTCGCAGCAGGTGGTCCCGCAGCTGCGTGAATTCCTCACGAAGGAACAGAGGTGAACCATCCTCCGACTGGTGGCCAGTGCATGCCAAAAACCCCAAGGCAAAATGCGACCAGGAACGGACTGCGAGGCAGATGCGCTCGCAGTAAGCAGAGCTTGTCGCCGGCCTCCAGACTCAGGACGATTTGGTCCTTCGGGCCTCCGACGTGGAGCACGTTCGTGAACCTGAGCTCCACAGTGAAAGGCAACGGATCTTGCCGGTTCTGTCCCCAGACGGAGCTTTCGGGGCCCGAGCCATCCCACGACTGAGCCCACCCACTGCTCCCACTGCGACGGAACGGCCTACATCGCAGATGGGGGATGCGCACGGTACGAGACAGCCCGGCATCGGCGAGTGGATACAGAATGATACAGGGTGTCTGGATTCTCGGCATGCCAGTCTGTTGACGAAGCCTTTGGGAAAGAACACGAAAGAACCATTCGATAGGCTTCACCGGTACGCGTTCGGAGCCTGACACATCTTCATGCGAGCCTGCTGTTGTTTGACCGCCACGATCGCGTCATCTTCACCTGTGAGCGCCGAGATTTTGGTATGCCCACCTCCCTCCTTCAGGTCTCGACAATGTCACACTGCACACAAGGGTCATGTAGAACAGCGCACGCATGGAATACCCGGGGCATGATTACAAGATGTTGCAGATGGATGCAACGATGGAAAATGCGCATCCGTACAAAGTCCAATCTCGCGCCTGCCGTGCAAGGCACGAAGATGCATTGCGCCCGGACTTTGATGGGCGTGCCACATAGCGACCTGCACATAACAGACCTTTATCACCATAGTCTGTTCATACATCTGATCCCTTCACGGCTTCGTGTGCGGCATTATACCCTGTCGAGAGCATCAGGAAGCGCGGGGCACCGGAACCCACCTCAAGTCAGGCTCACCCTGACGTGGCGCTGGGATGAAAGTAGATGATTGACCTGAACCAATGCCGACTTGTTCGGTCTGGTTTCGTGTGTCTGGTTTCCTGTCGCGGAGTTTTGGTGAGGGCCACATCTGGCTTTCGACTCTTCTGCTGCCGGCTAGTTCCACACTACTAAGAATAGAATCATCATCAATGACCGACAAAGTCCTCAGAGGAGAAATGGGCAGCGATGATGGCAACAATACTACAATACCACTAGCCACCAAAAGATAATGAGATTGATATATATATATATGTATATAAAGATGTACGAGAAACAAGTCGCACACTAAAGCCCACCGAAGTCTCGAGCTGAGGCTCTTAGTCCAGTGCAGCAGGACTTGCTTGCTTCTTTATGTTGGTGGCCTGAGGGGCATAACCAGCTACTGGTAACAATACAAGTCACGAACGAAGACTCAGTGATATCAAATTCGGATGCGAAATGACTCATCGAAGCAATTCTTCTACGAAAACTCAGCCAATTCAAAGTTCTGTATAGTATAGAAACACCTGATGGTCACCACCGTGGTACCTGTGGCAGAATGACACTCGCAAAACCGAGCCCATAGCTCGGAAAGTTCTAACTACGAATCCGTTAGCCCGTGACTGAGTCTGCTACGTCCCTGCGGTGCCAGGCACAAGCAAAGCACAAGCGCGAACCAGACGACCTGAGTCAGAAAGGATGAGGTTCAAGGGAGTGGACTCAAGCATCGAAGGCTTGGTGTCACAGGGGGACTTTGCAATAAGGGTTGCGAGTGGTATTATTGTCTATGCTCTTGAAGCGCATGGTCGCATTGTCGCATCGTCGTAAGTTCCGCAAGCGTCTTCTTGTCGTTCCACCCGGCATGATCGCTGCTCATGCGTTGTGCATCGCAACACGGTACAAGTTGTACAGACTATCAAAGCATGTGCATGTATGTGTGTGTATGTATGTATGTATGTATATATATATATACATATATATATATAAGTAACACTATATTATGTCACTGCATCCCAGATCAGTAAATAATCCCAGAGTACTCTTCTGCTTGGTTGGAGTGTTGATCTGGCAGCAACGACTTTCGGGGACTGTGTCGCTTGAGTAGTGAACTGGGATGAGGTCAGGCGGCTACCTTCAGTTCACTTTCGATCATGGTTTCTAGAACTTACGGAAGCTTCAGCGTGGCATTCAACATATGCCCGGGTCCGCGGCGCATCGACTTTTCCGACACGGTCCCCGCAACATGGCGCTGGTTTCCAGAGGCGGTAGAAACTTGAAACCTCACCCCCGAAAAACCCACGGAACAAACCAGAACTTCCAGGACTTCTGTCAGAAGTGAAAGATCTGGCTCCTTTTTGCAGAAGAGTGCATTAAGCATGGCAAAGCAGGGAAGTCACTTCGGACACGGCTGTAGAGGCGGGCCATGAGCGGGAGCAGCGGCAGAAACATGCAGAAAGTGCCTCTCCAGGGTCTCTGACGCGCTGAATACACCCAGGAAGTTTCAGACATGGCAGGGAAGAAACTGGAACACAGACTTTACTAAAAGGACAACAAGGACACGTGGAAGTTGTCACAGGGCACGGCCGGATGCGTGCAGCAGGCAGGGTCTTGTGATGTTGCCAAGGTGTCATGGCGATTGTGAAGCCCAGCTTGGGCAAGCGAGCACCGACACTGAACTCCGCGGGCACAAGTCTTTTCCAGACTCGCCAGGCACTCGTCTCGTCAGCATGAGATCACCGTGAGGAGCTTGAACTTTGGCCCCCGCGCCTCAGATGCCCAAAGACGGGGACAAGCACGGGAATGCTATAGCATTGCAGCTTACCCTGCCCTTCATGAGCCCCCGCATCTCCCATGCCTTTGGCGCTGCCCAAAAGCCCAAAAGCCCTCACTCCAACCCTCCTATACGCATCTACGCAAATTCGAGGGACTCGACACGAGCATTCCTGGGCAAAGGCTACATCGGCTGTCACTGTGTTGCCATCAGGCGGCCAGTCGGAATGAAATCGTCGCACCTTGGATTTCCATTGCTAACCCTGCATTCTTTTGCCAGGGATCTGCTTACAAAGCTTACGAAGTTGGAGTGTAAAAGGTCGTAAGAGACGAGAAGCCCCGTAACTATACTAAGATCAAGGCCGGATAGCATATCCACGACACCGACCGGTGAGCGTAACGCAGTAATGCATCAGAACAGGAATACTCACTTCTCAGCTGTCACGAGCTAGAGACAAGGATACGGATGCAACCCAAGCGCGACACTAGCATGTCTTGCTCGGCCACCTGAAAAAAGGGGCAAGGCCCAATCACCGAATCGAGGCTCTGTCCTTGCGTCCTTCAAGCTGGCTTGTGGGTGTCACTGCCTTGAAGAAGGCATTCCTTAGACGGGTTCTTCTACTACTTCAATGACTCAGGAGCGAATCGGCTAAGACTCGGCATCAATACCGAGACTGCCGGACTAAACCCCTGTCCCTTTGTTCAGACAAGGCCGTTCACGAACTTTGCACAATGGAGACTTGACAAGAAAGCAGCCTCTTTAGATCACGAACCACAACAACTCCAGTGCTGCCCTTGGTTGGAAACCAAACTGTATACAACACGACCGTGCCGAACATGTAGGCTCGTAGAGTCTTCTTCCAGCCGTTAATGCCAAGACCGTCAACAGCACCTCCAATGGTGGCCAAGTCTCTGTGTGACAGATATTTTCGTTGGCCAGCGTCCAAGCATGCCTGGATGATGGCCGGATTTTCTGTGTGACCAACCGGATTTGCCGAACTGACGCCAAGGAAGACCCAAAAAGCTACCATCTACCGTCTCGAACTGAAGAAGTCTTGAATCTTCCGGCCCCATATCTTTTCAGCAAGTGAGTGAATGCCAATTTGATACGCAGTTCCTACCCAGCTTGAGGCGTTGCAGCATTCACCGGAAAATCTCAGCCGACCAGATTGGTTACATTGTCCATCAGCTTGCTTGCCAAGACTCGCCAGGTGTATCCTGCGGCAGTGAAAAGGGGCGTGGCCTTCTTTTGACAGCTGTGGGGGCAGGGACGAATTAGGCATCGGCCCACCATCTTTCGGCACAAAACGCGACGGCTACTCAGAAAGCTCGTCGTCGCCCGGGCTAGAAGCTGGCCTCGGAGATTCTTGAACATCGTGGACCTCCAGATCCATGGGCTTTGCACGGTCACCTCCGCCTCGCCGATGTTCGTGTACGAGCGGAGGTACTGGATCATTATCCTAGGATGCCACAAGTAACCCCTTTCTTTCGCCAGGGCCCCTCTCTCTCTCTCTCTCTCTCTCTCTCTCTACCAAGTGGGGATAGCAGGGGTGCGTCCGGCCCCTACCCTCCGCGCGCGTGCGCATCTCTCTCTCTCTCTCTCTCTCTCCCTCGTCTTAACTGCCACCCGTCGAGGTTCGCCAGCGACATAACCACATGCCAGCTGCCCCAAACTTGCAATCGCGTCGTGTGTGACGGCAACGGGCCGTGTCGTCTTGGAGCCCAGTAGCATGGACCGAGTGCAGAACCCGTAAACCCACGCCCTTGTGCAATGCCACGAGGACCCGCGCTTTGAGCGACACGACGACTCAACTAAAACTCGTGGCAGGGCACATGGGCTTGCTGCTGAATTTGAGATCGAACACGAGCTCCTCGCCGTCCGTCGTGTTGGAAATCCAGCCTGTCGCGGAAGTGAGTTATCCTCGAAGTTCATACCTTGCTTGGGAAGTCTCCAGATCGCTGCATGCTCTTCCAGGAAACTCCGCCGGGCCTGGCTTGTTCCGCCGGTCCTCGAAAAGGCTCCATTCGCCCTTGGGGCTCTGCCTGGGCGTACCTAGCCCAGATGTCAAAAACCAGGGGGGGAGAGAGAGCTTCGCCCGAGAACTTTGGATGTGGAAACCTTCTGCTGCTTTGGCTTTGGGAGGGTCGAGGGATTGGTGCCAGCGTGCTCTTCTTGGGCAAGCTTGGCTTCTTGACGCTTTGGGTGGCCTAGCTGCTTAGCTGTGTCTGGGTCTTGCCAGTGGAGGACCCTGAAGCCAAGTCTGCACGGGGCACTGGGACCCGGAGATCTCGCAATGTGCTGCGACAGCGGGAAGAGGCAGACGGGGGCTGTCGCCTCAGCAGCTGACACGTCTGGCAGCGCAAATTTCTCAACAGTCCGCAAGGTTCCCACTGCTGAAAAGCAGCCAGGTCCGCTTTCAGCACGGGCTTGATCCACCCAAGGTCGTCCTGAAGCAGACAGCAAAAACTTCGCTTTTGCTGGCTTTTGCGGTCAGACTTTCCTTGGAGCTCTGCTTCCGCACGCCCTGAGCTTCACGGAAGTCCCTGGCGACTCTCGCCTGCAGCTGCCTGGACATCCTTTGGAACCCTCTTCGGGTTCCAAAAAGCAGAGATGAGTCAGGACAGAGCCTCGGAACTCCGAGAAGCCTTGGGTGCCTTGAACTCTGGGGCCATTCAAACGGGTGCCGCTGGATTCACCTAGCTCAAGCAGTGTACAAGAAATGGTTGGAAAAGTCAGTCGGATAGCACCAAAAAGCCGAGAGTCTAAAATTCATTCTAGCTAAACGAAGAGTACCCAACGATCCGGGAGCTGGGACATCTGGAAATGTGAACTAAAAGGAAATTAAGAAACGATGGGTACCCAACGCTGGGAGCTGGCATTGCTTATCCACCAGATGCAGTGTAAAGTGCAATGCTAGACAGATCGAAAACCCCCCGCGGATCTTCTGGCCTTCAGATCGGGTGAAGGCGTCCTTGGCCAAACACTTCGCTCAGATTGGTGAGGCTTCCACCACCGATACTTCCCACTGAAGACTCGGCATCAGAAGTCCAAACTGTCCTCTGAGACTTCCACTCCCCCCCTCTTGGAATGGGCCATGGCTTGCTCCTGCGCCGCCAAGCGTCCGATGCTGGGGAAGAAACTCTTCGCCAAGGAGTCGCGCTGTCTCCTGGGCGGCAAGGAGCCTCCACCTTCCGTTGATGGCAGCACCGCGCACAGGCCGCGTCACAAGTCTACCGAGGGCACCTAGACGGGCAGGGCCGGTCAGCTCGCCGTTCGAACTCCTAAAAGACCACCTACAAGGCTCCTCTTCGGGAAGTCTCTCCAGCTTCTCCAACTGTTTGTTACCTCTGCCATCAGAACTGCACTCAAAAATACAAAGAAAGATGCTGATAATACTGACAAAATCGTAAGGGAGACTGAACCAGCGAAGGGGACCAAGCTACACCAGTACGCAAGGACGTCGGCGAAGTATGCATGGGCCTCGCAGGAAAAAGCCCGGCACCCTCCTATCCCAGAGGTCTTCGAGGATCCCGATGGGAAACTGGCAGTCTGGAAGAATGGGGCTGGGGACTCCCTTTAGAAAGCTGTCACAGACCCTAAAGGCCCTAAACTTTTCACCCGCCGCCCGAAAGCCTGCCATGTCGGATGACGGGTTTTCCAGCCAGGCCACAGCTCCTGCCGGGCTTGTGCTAGGCTGCCAGTTAAGGGAAGCCAGACAGAGAGGGGCAGAGATTTCGCCGCAAGTTGGAGGATTGAACAGAAGAAGCAAAAGCCAGGAAGAAACGGAACTGAAGACTCAGAGTCCTCCACAGCTCGGGCCTCTTTGGCATACCTTTCTGTCTCAGTAGAGCACTATACAAAAGACTGAATGGAAAAACTTGGGATGCAAATAACCACAGGATTGAGGGGAAACAGCGTGAAGGCCTAGCATCTCCGAGCATCAAGAAGATGCTGGGGGCTGATAGCTTCTTGCAGCTGAGGAGGGGTTAACTTCAAGGCTCGCCCGCTCTCGCCTTTGACCTGTTCGCTGGGGTGCCATCGGAGCTGAGCGTGATGCAAGCGAGGGACAGCTCCAGAATCGCCTCGTAGTTCAAGACGGGGACGCTGTAGTGCTGGCCCAGGATGCCTTGGTGCCAGGGTTCAGGGCTTTGGGTCTGTAAGTCATTCCAGGTGCTGCTCTCTATCCCCCAAGCCCCACCTGTTCAAGCACAGACCTCACGCAGAGTCAACTTTGTAGATGTTCGGCTTGCTCGTTCAGCGCGCTCACATGAAGTGTGCCACAGTAAATGCTAATGGCCAGTCTCAGAATGGACAAGAAAGCTCAGTGGAGCGAGCAGGACAACTTGCTGCGGCTCCTACAGAAAATGCATGACGCAACGGCCAGGTCGCGAATTCCTTCAAACAGTCTCGCATCGATTTTTGCAGATTTCTCGCCGTCGATCATGTCTCGATTCCTGAGGTCGCGAAAACCACG